AAGGAGAAAAGCCACGCATAGCAAACACAAAGGTTACTTTGATTTATTAAAATCTAGGGGCAACAATCACAGATCATTATAGATCACTTCCACTTCTTGAATTTGCCACCATGCATCCCGAATCCATGCTTTCCTCTCTTGTGCTTGCCGTGCTTGCCAAACTTTCCATGCTTGAACTTCCCATGCTTAATCTTGCCATGACCATAATGACCCATGCCATGCATGGGGCCATGACCATAATGCCCCATGCCATGGGCACCGCCATGCATCAAATGTGAAGCACCATAAGCAGCGGCAGCAGCTGCAGCACCTCCCGCTAACAGTCCTCCAATGCCCGAACCACCTGAAAAGGCAAACTTCCTACTCAGAGGCACACGGATAAAAAGATTGTCATCCAGGTAAACCATAACATTAAATGCCACGACTATATTTGATTATCATTGAACGGCATGCGTACAACAATCATTGTTTATGAAGATAACCAGCTGCATAAAGTTACAAATAACCAATAACAAATAAAATGTTATATGATTCCAATTTTTCATAAACTAATCACGGAGTGACACGACCAGATACTTGGGAATTCAATGAACGGGGCACAAGCTGAAAGACGTAACCCCTTGTGTAAGTATTTGCCCCTAACCAGGCAAGGACCGCGGCTTGGAGCAAGGGAGGCAACTGCTTTTTTCTCTTTTTCTCTTTTATATCAATTAATATTAAATCTTAAATAGATTTATGCCGGGCATCGAGTTAAACTACTAAACTAGATTCAATCGTTATTCTAGTTCACTAGTACTCCAAAGTCGAATATTTTTCTTTTTCAACTAGATTGAAGACATTCACTCTGTTGAATTATTATTCTGTTTATTGTACAATTGACTTTTATAAACCAAAAATATTTTTTTAAAAAGAAGATTTCGTCCTTTTTATTTAGAAAGAAAAAAAAATTCAGATTTCTTATTATTAATAATTAGATAACGAAGCTAGCACGTTAACTTCAACAACTAAATTCTTGCCTCCATCTCGTCCCTCACCAGCCCGCACCTCAAAATGCAACTTGAAACAGCCTTCACTGAATCATAATAATACCTTCACTCATACTGCTTCCCCAGCTTTCATTTTCCAGAAACCAACAACATTTTGTCCTCAAGCTCAATGTGGTTCCTCAAAAGGCAGCACATATCAAGTCTCAATGGTCTGTCTATATACATGCTAGATCACTCTAAAACATCATATAAAAAAGCAAGAAGTAGGAAGCAATAAAACAGCACACCTGGATGGGGTCCATGTTGATATCCAGCAGGTGGGTAGCCAGCTGGCGGGTATCCCTGCGGAGGATAGCCTGATGGCGGGTATCCTTGTTGTGGAGGATAACCTGATGGCGGATATCCTTGCTGTGGAGGATAACCTGATGGAGGGTAGCCTTGTGGAGGGTAGCCTCCAGGGGCACTTGGGGGGTATTGACTGCCTGGGTATCCATAATGGCCCGCAAGATGAGAGAAAAGCCCCTTGTCAGATTCGTGGTGCTTGTCCTTTCCACCTCCCATTTTCTCTGGACCTCAATAAGCTAATATCACCTGAAGGACCATAGCAGAACACCACCCGATGGGCCAGACAAGCATGTTAAAATCATTGTGGAGAAGCAAAGTTCGATTAGTGCACGTGTAAATAGTTTTGACATGAAATCACTCTATGGCGTGTATATTCTGCAGTTTCTAAGCATGAGGAAAGCAAACAATCAGACAGAACTCATAAGGTCAAGCCAATTCTCCTAAGTACCTCTTTAAGTAAACTTCCAAACCCCCATTATAGATAGATAACAACACAATGCTATATTACAAGTCTATTTTAACTAGATAATAACAGTATTTTAACAAGGATAAAATACTCTACAACGCAGACCAGAACTTAAGAATCAAATGTAACACGATTAAGCATAAAAAGTTAATGATCTTTTACTCATACATCTATCATAACCAGAATCACGTCCACAATCAAGAACAAATATATACCCAGATATGATCTGAAGAGGGGCACGTGATCAATGACAATGGCGTCACAACAACTGCCCAATTTACCCGCGAAATTAAACTAAAACGGAGATCCAATCCGACGATCTCCTACAACCTTAAAAGGATTACTTACAGCCCAGCAAATACACACAAACAAGAGTTGAAAATCCCACAACCGATCATCACGAATCAACAGTCTACAAAAGCACAAAAAATACACCGAAAATTTTGCGAGCGTGAACGAAATTCATATACCGTGAATATGCTCACACAAAATTAGCAGAACCAAAAAAAAAAATGATGGACCAAATACTCAATGCATCATCAAGGTATGTATCTCGCGAAAACATGACTATTAAAAACAGAAGCAAACAATCTATAGCTGCGCAGATAAGTGAGAGAGGGAGAGCGAACGAACGGGATCACCTGGAAAATCGCTCCTTGTAAGACGTACTCTTGAATTGAATGTGAGAAGAGAGGATATGCACGAATTCCTGAATGCTTTATAGGCAAAATTAGCTATTCCTATTCAAAAATATCCGATGGAAATAAATTTAGATTCGACGCGTTTCTTAGACGCGTACGTGACGTGTTTGTATCACTAGCATAGGCCGTAGGCCGTCTGACACGCGTCTGGGATTTGGGTCAATATTCTGTTGACCGTTTGACTCCCAATTAGCTCAACCCGAGCGGGCAGATTTTTCGAGCCGGACTATTTATTTTAAATAGAATTACCTCACTAAATAATGTTGCATCACAAATAAATTTGAAGTAATTAACATAAGTACAATAATAACTGAAACGAGGGTGGGGGAGTATAGAATACGGAAGTATGTTAGAACACAAAATTCTGTATTACAAAATTGTATTGCAACAGAGAATTGTAAATTTAAAAGCGGAAGCGATATGAACAATTATATGTCTTCGGGGAGCATCTAACTACCCCTCAGAGCTCTTTCATTGATAAATCGATTTGCGTCCCATAAAGTACAGATTGAAATTACTCGACTCGGACTCCCTCATAGCCTAGCCAACACTAAACCCGATCATATCAACTACTTCCCTGGGCACGTCCCGTGGACTTTACATACTCGAATCTCTCGAGTAAACTCAGTACTTAATCCCTGAACACTCAAAAAGTGTTTGTAAAAAGAAAAAGAAACTAAACAAACTCGGTTCGTCAATAATGTAAGAACGCTGAAGTGCTGTGACGAACAAAATAAAAAGAATAAGAATCTCTCAAACACTTAATTGAATCTGATGAATGAAAACTCGATTATTGCAGCAGCTCTTCTCAATTGATTGTTTGAGTAAGCTTATATACAATCTCCTTAAGGTAAGGAGCCTTCATAAGTGATATAGCATATACAAATGGCTCGGTAAACCGACAAGGATGTGCTCAGTTCATTAAGCCAGAGAGAAGGGAAAGTAGCCCGGTTTTATGGGATTAGTTGTAGCTCGGCCTTACAGGTCTAATAATAGTCGGCCAATGAGTAGCCAACAGCTCGGCTTTGTGGTTATGTTGGTAGTTCGGTTTTATGGACATTGTAGTAACAGCTAGGCTTTGTGGTTATGTTACTTGAAAAATGTATGTGCTCCTCTAAATCTATTCAAACCTTTAGGTATGTTAGCAGCTCGGCTCTTAGTAGCTCGGCTTTTAGAATTGGATGAGTCTCTAACAGCTCGGCATTATACTTGGATGTTAATAGCTCGGCATTAGCAGCTCGGTTCTTAATAGCTCGGCTTTTGCCGAGCAGAATAGTTGGTTCAAGAACTTGGATGTTTGTAGCTCGAAGCCGTGCTAGGAGCCCCGAACAAGTGGGGCAGTTATGAAGAGCAGTCTAGGAGGGACACGTGTAGCGTCACGATCAAATTAGAATAAGTGATCTGACGAGCGAAGAGAAAAGCGTAGGGAACAAGCTAAATACTCTATATAAATAGGTGAACAAATGAAGGAGGTAAGAGGAACCATTTTACAAACCATAAATTCCATACACAGCTTCCTTCTATCTTTGATCTCGTACTGACTTGAGCGTCGGAGGTTTACCGCCGGGAGGTCTTTGCAGGTCTTGGAGCGGTCGAGAAGCGGAGGGAAGCCAGTTCAAGTGCAGAAGCACATCAATAAGTTTCTTCTTTTTCCTTTTAGGAGTCAATTTCCTTCTCAATTGATTCATTTCTGACTAGTGCGTAGCCCGTGCAATGCACGGGGCAATAATTAAATTACATATATTAAAACAATGAAGGGATATTGATTAGTATACAAATAGTTTGGAATATTCATAATTACATTTTATTTTATTTTATGATTTATAATAATTTAATATATGGTTTATATATTTATTTCACTCATCATAAAATAATTATCACTTCAGATCATGTTTATAATTACGGATAATGAAAATTTAACATATTCAAGTATTGTAAATAAATATTACTCATCTCCATCTTCACTTGTTCATCCCTTGTTGCAACATATTAATTTGATTTCTAAATAAGTTAAGCTAAAGTTGAAAACTTGTGTCAAATATTATAACCATCACTTAATTGAAAAAAATTATAATAAATATTGTTTTGAAGTTAAAAATATTTTTTATTTTTTAGTAGGTTTGTGTATCTTATAGAATATGAAACAAATTAGTGCAAGTTTGAACTATTATATCACAATCTGATTTAATTAGTATGTGTAGGTAATTTTATTTAAATTATAGATTTAGTAAATAAAATATAAGATTTTGTGATGTTGAATAGAAAATTAGTTTAGACAGTATTTTTCACGTGGATGTGTGATGAAGAATGAGAAAATATTTTTGGATTGATTTTTTCAGATTGAAACTAATCTCGAGTTTGAATTCATTTAAATTTGACTTTTAGAATAAAATATTGTGGAAAGAGATGAATGTTTGTCCCACTTTTGTTGCATTTTTTGTCATTATTTTTCTTTTCTTTTTCCTCCATATTAGGTCTTTTAGTTGGTTTTTAGTTCGTTTTGTAGTTTATTTCGTGGTTCGTTCTATTTTAGTCTTTCGTGTGTTTTTCGTGTATTTTTTCGGTTTTTCTTTGTTTATGGTGTGTAGGTCGGAAGCCTCGGGAGGACCGAATTTCAAGTGAAAGTTAGTCGGGCAAGCTTAATTAAATAGAGGAGTTCGTTGGGAACACACACGAAAAAACGGAATCGAATTCCAAGTTGAAATGAACCGAAACGAACCCGAGAAGCAAAGTCCAGCAGGCTGCCAGAGCCGTAGCGCCGGTAAGGTCAGCCCAGGCTAGCGGTGGTTTGTTTCTTAGCGGTTTCAGACTCGAACGGCTAACATGCCTTAGCGCCGCTAAGGTCTGTTTTACTGCAGGCACGATTTTCATGGATTTTGAATTGGAGAATGATATATTTCGATCCTAGGGTTAATGTTAAGTATTCTCAGACTTTGTATTTTCGTCTTTTTCACTCCAAAACTCATTTTTCACTTAGTTTTCATTAGATTTTGATCTTGGGTAGTGAAACTCCAAGATAGAACTTGTGGATTTGGATTGTTCGTTGATTTTCGACATTGGGTTCACTATTAATCGTAAGCATTTCTTTTTATTTTGTGTATGGATTTGAAGGCTTTCTTAATTATGAATTGTTGTGTTGAAATTGCAATGTGTGGCTAAATTCGTAGCTAGGGTTAGGGGATAATTGTTCCGGTTCGATTTCATTTGTGTGTACTTTGATTGCTCAATCTAAATAAGTTGTGCTATACCTAGGGTTAGATGATTGATCACCATCCTAATCTGTTTAATCGATTTTAGAACCGAAAGGGGAGAAATCGATCGATCTTGGCTCGTTTATAATAGACTTGTTCGGAAACGTATTGTTTATGTGCTAATTAATTCGATAATTGACCGTTTATGTTTATTCTCTTGTTACGTGAGTTATTGAGAATGAATCTCTTGTTGAATTAGTTTTTCGAGTTCTTTAGCCGAGTGATCGATTGCGTTTAATGTATTGAGAACCGAAAACGATTGTCTCCGACACCCTAGTCCCTATTATCATTATTTGAATTGTGCTTTGGGTTGTGAAATTGAAATTGCTTGTTTGAGAATCGTTAGTAGTTAATCTCGTAGTTGATAATTGAAAACTCAAATAATTGAATTAGAGTGTTTAGGATTATTTTCTTTTTTTGTGACTGAATATTTGCACAATTTAATCCGACTGACCTTCCTTGAGACACGACGCGGTGTTCGAATCTTTTGATTTAACTCTGGTAAAAATATCTATAACAATGAATTGTAGTTGATTTGATATTCCTATTCCATCGTATTTTGATATTTTGCTACGGATTTGTATTTTGGATGAATAAACCAATTCTATTTTGGATTTGTATCCGATTTCAATTCATTTATTGTAGGCCGCATAAGTCAAATGGATGATTTGGCTATTTTATTTTCAAGTTTTCCATCCGACTGTTTTATTTTCAAGTTTATGTAAAAAGAAAAAAAAAATATGAAAATAGTAAGCAATTAATGTTGTCCGAAAATTTTGGTTACTAAATTTGGTAAATGTTAAGCTCGATATATATATATATATATATATATATATATATATGTATATATATAGATAAATAGATAGATAGATATAAATTCTATATTGTGCTTGAAATATGTGTGAAGTCACCTAAAATTTTTCTAAACTATTTTACAAGGAAAACATGTCTAAATACTTAAATTTAACCTATTTTTATATAGATATACCTCCTTAATCTAAAGAATGTGTAAAAAATTTACCTAAATGTGTTTAAAAGTATCTAAATATTATATATGTTAACAATATTACAATAAAAAAATTAAGAATACGTAGACTATCAGATTTGTTAGCAAATTTATTAGATACATACAGACAAATCATTTTGAACGTCAAAATATGTTTTGAAAGATTGTTTTTGGAATGAGTACAATAAATGAAAATGATAGAATAAAAGATATATAATCAAAATCATTTGATATTATAATTTTTACAACAAAATTTTCGAAATTCTGTACATTATTTTTGTATGATTAATTTTTCAATATCTTTCGTCAAATGAAATGGATTGTACAGTTAGTAACATTATTTTTTTAACAATTGCATTTTCATTAGCCTCCGTGTAAAAGATAAGAATAATGGAATAAAAATAATATAATCATAGACATGCAATATGCATGTCACTGATATACAATAAACAATGTTTTTGTATCCACTATACAAATCTTCTCATACTATAATCCCCTCTATATATAATTTCAGAATGCGTTGAACGTGACAAACTCTCATGCTTCGTAATCTTATTTGGCAAAAAATCATGCTTTGGAGTTATGATTGGATATAAATTAATATTTCTATTAATTGTATTTTGATATTGTTTCCTATTATAACCATTGAATTGAAAATATATTTTAAAAGTTGATAACTTTTGTATTTCTTATCGGTTTTACATATATAATATATCAAATTAATTATCTTTTGATTAGCTTCGATTTGACATCTATATTGTATATATAAAATAAATAAATTATATTTATCTTTATAATAAT